GAACCCAGGTCCTCTGCAAGAGCAGTCAGTGCTCTTAATTGCTGGGCCATCTCTCCAGCCCCTATCTATCACACTTTTGTCTTAAATGTACTCAAGACATGACACGTTTTTTTCTCCCTCTTGTTTTGAGATTAGGTCTCCCTACAGCCCCAGAACCCACTAGGTAGACCAGGCTGGCCTACATCTCAGAGATCCACCTGCCTCTGTCTCCCAAGTGCTGGGATTAACAGAGCCGCCATACCTAGTTGAAATACTGTTTTTATGTGTTAGCAATATGAAAAATCGCATGAGTCATCACCCAAGGGCTGATGACTGGCAGCCCCACCAGTAAGCACGTCAGGGCTTTGGGTCTGTGATCCAGGCTCTGGACTTGAACCTGGGGTTTTGTTGGCTTGACAGTGCAGCCCCATGGAAGGCACAGGAGGGACCCTCTGGGACATCTGTAGATGGCTACTGTCCAATTCTACTGTAAATGTCTGCAAGGCAGAGCTCAGCTCTGACCTGGGGCTGAAGAGCCAGGGTAACTTTGGGGGTCAGGGGTGGGAGCAGGTGTGCTCAGCCTGAACTGCACCCCCTACTTCCTCCTGGGAACCCGGAGCTGGTTATGCGGCCGCCCAAACTCAGGCTCAAGGTCTCTGTGGACTTTAGCAGTTGGCACTGGCAGCTGTGGTTGAGGGTAGAAGGGTCACTCAGCCTGTAGAGGAGCCTTGGGTGCAAACCCCAAAACCCAGTCTGCATTAAGCTCAGGTTTGGAAGAGGCAGAGCAACCACAGCAGTGCCATCTGGTGGCAATGCCTATCATCACTGTCAGTCTGGGTAGGAGCCCCCAGCTAGCTGTTATAACCTCCCCCAACGTTGCTAGATACCTGCCTCAGCCCCAGGAGGGGACCACCAGGAGTGTTAGCACTCACAGGGCTGGAAGCTCCCCCAGAATGTGCCAACAGGAAGGGGAAGTGGGATCACTGAGGACCACCAGGAGCGTTAGCACTCGCAGGGCTGGAAGCTCCCCCAGATTGTGCCAACAGGAAGGGGAAGTGGAAGTGGGATCACTGAGGACTTTCAACTTCCGTTTGTACTTAAAGGGAACGTACGTCCTTGTTAGGTCTTAGGTCACTTGGAGGGTGTGTGGAAGGGGCTCCAGAGCTGATGTCCCAGGGTCCATCCCTCCACGTTGTGGGGACAGGGTCACGCTGGGATCTGAACATGTCAGATGGCACCCAGCATGAACGTACAGTGAGGGAAGTTGGGGGCTGGTTGAGGGAACTCAACTATTCAGGTAGTGCCCTGCCATAACAGCTCAGCAAAGGCACAGGGATCCCTCCAGTTACTAGTGTGCAGGTGGTACTGAGGACTGGAGAGGAAGGAGGCTCCAGGGTTGCCCTGCACGGTGGTCAGCAAGCTGATGCAGGAAGGCGGCAGGATGGTACCCTGCAGAGCGGTGGCCAGGTCCTGAGTGCAACCGAGGAGGTTAGATTAGGCCCTTGGAGGTCTCCCGGGCCTTGGCAAGAAATGGCCAGGAGATGAGGCAAAATGAGTCCTATGGCATGGTCTCCATGATGTGAGGGCTGGGGGATGCAGAGAGCAACGGCTGGCGCTGCACTCTCTCTTGGGAGCCTCTCTTCGGTCTTCCTCGCTCTGCCATGGGGATGGGCACAAGTGCCACCCAGAAAGAGGTGCCGCAGCACTGGAGACCATCTTCTCTACAGGTTAATGGTTCTCACCTCACTCCCGCCACACGAGCACTGCAGAGAGACTGATGGCCGGAGGGGTCTAGTCATGAGTCATATGAGGGCTGGGCACCAAGCTCTCCTATCATTCCCTGCCTCTCCCTGGTACAAAGATGGGACACAAGCCTCACCCAACTGCCCCCAAAAAACCCACCACTGGCTTACATGTCACTGGCTCTTGTTTCTGTAAGTGCAAGTTCCCTGACACAAGGAAAGCTACACCTGTGTTAAGAGTTCACGAGGCCAAATGGCTGAAGTTCCTGGTTGTGGAGAGCTGGCAGGCTGCGGACCAGTTACATAACCCTGGGCCATGGTATGTCCTTTGGAAAGCCAGTCATCATCCACTCTTGTGTGTCAATGAGCAGCCTTGCGACTTAAAACCTGTAAGATGCATTCTTCAAAAAAAATGTGAGGGTGTGCATTCGGGTTGGTGTGCTCATCCGTTAGCACGTTGTCAGAGGATACTTTGCAGTGTGGGTTTTCTCCTTCCACCAGTGGGTCCTGGACATTCGGCCCTAAAATGTATTCTGAACAAACCACTAGTTTCTACTGATCCAAAAGTCAATGGCCAGAGTAGGTTTTGCCATGACCTGCCTGTGGCCCCCCCCCGTATGTACTAAACACTCTGCCCTGTGGCCCCCCCCCGTATGTACTGAACACCCTGCTCTACAGCTGCCCCGAGTACCGAAACACGTTCACAGAACCATCTTCTGGGCACCTGAAGCCATGAAGCCATGCTCCTGGGCCAAGGTCATGCACATGTGGTTCAAGTATAAACTATCTCTCATTCTCATCCTTTGAGGGGACAGCTGTGCTTTGCGGTGACATTTCCACCAAGGCCAAGGCCACCTGGAAGGGTCTGGAAGATGAAGTCAGGGAAGGCAAGAAGACACCGGAGAGCAGCAGGAGCACTGTGCACACTGATGTGACACATGGTGACAAACACGCAGACAGATGTGCACACACGAGCACAGCTCGCACAGACCCACGTGTACTCAGACCTCCACACAGACACGGAGACATACTGACAACCCCCCCAGCTTCTTCCTGAATCTCTGGCTCCCACCCACACTCTCGGGCTCCCAGTGTGCTGGCTGGGGACTCAGGACAGACATTGCAGAGCTGATCCCAGCCTTGCCAAGCAGGACTTGAATCTTAAGACCAGCACCAACATTACGCAATCATGTTTAATGTTTATAGAACAAACTTGTTCTTTACATTTGGTTCACTATGAACTTGAATCACTTGTTTTTAAGGCCTAGAAGCCAACCTTGGGCTCAAGCAGCAGTGGGCGTCCAGTGATTTGTTCCTCTGTGCAAGTCATGAACCTTGTCTGATCTTCATGCCACACGGAGTGGACAGCAAGTGTCCTTGTCAGCTCTACAAGCAGGGACTCTTCTCCTCTGGGCTCTGCCCTGGATCAGCCCTGAGTACTGAGTGGCAAAGGCTGCAGATCTTCCTGAAGGCACAGGCCTCGGGGCAGCGGCAGGGGCTTCTGGGGAGCGCAATGCACCTCTGCCCCTCTGGGAGATATAACACCCACCACCACCTCCACCGGGCAGTCCATCTTGCCAGCACAGTGACAGCTGGGGCCCAGCTTCTAGAGGCAGGAGACACAGCACAGCTGTGGCCTCCATCAAAAGGTTCCTATGGTAACCCGGCCATGGGTCACAGCCTCCCTGAGCAGGGCCCAGACTTGGGGAGGGTGTGCTAGAGCTTACTGTTCTTTTGGAACTGGGCCACCAGGCTGAGGACCTGCTCGGAAGCTTTGATGTTCTTGGAACCCAAGTAAGTGATGCTGTTGGGACCCGTCTGCTCCAGGTAGTAGCGATAGTTGACCATGAGGCCACATGAGCTGGTGAGGCCTTTGAGGCTGCTGTCGGCCATCCAGTTGATGCGCCACATCACGGCCCCATTCTGCAGGTGGAAATTGGCCACCGGGTTGAGGGCGTAGCCGCGGTGCTTCTCACCGTACAGGTACCAAGCGCACAGCCGCATCAGGGGCACCTGCAGTGCCTGCACCAGCTTCTCTGACTTCACCCACTCACCGCTGCTCAGGAAGCCCTTGAGGCTCTCGTGGACTGGGCCACCCGTGACCTCAGTGATCTCTCTGCACTCTGAGTCTGTGAACAGTTCATTCCTCCCGTGTTCCTTTCCTTGTGTACTCAGAAGGCCCAGAAGCCACTTGGTGAATCCAGGTATAGGCGACAGGCTAGAGAAGACCCCCAGGTGAGGAAACTCCTTCTGCACACGGGGTGGGGGAGGGAAGGCAGAGAGTTCATGTCAGCAGGTGTGGCACACACGCCTGTCACCTCTCAGCACGCAGCCTGTGTGGTGGTCATGTGCTGCCGGGGGTGGCAGGGCCGCTGCCTCTACTTTCCTTCTTTCAAGAAGGGTTTATGAGGGGCCTGGTGCGCACCAAGGCTGGGGGCATTTTGAGTCCCCAAGCAAGCCTTGATAAACGTGGTGTCCCAACCCATGCCACTGTCACACTGGCAAAACGCAGGCTGGAAGTGCATGGCTTGCCTAAAAGCAGAGAGCTGGTCCTTGTGACATGGGATGGGACCTTTAACTTCCCTCGGCACCACATCCCTCTGGGGAAAAAGCCCCAGCAGCCCAGAGCCAGGTCTGATGCTTGGCATGCAGATAATAGTGATGTGTGACTGCCCAGCTCCATGGCAGTGGGTGCAGAGGGCCAGCAGGGCCAGCCAAGGTATGTCCCCATCCGGCACGGCTTCATCACTGTTTTGGTTAGACAGAGTGCTCACTGATGCCCAGCCAGCATCCTCTGACTGTACGTGTGGCAGGAGCTCGCTACAAACCTTTCTCTTTAATTTATGGAAGGAGACAACCTGAATCTCACCACGTACGGTCTACGTGGTCTACGACTCTCCGAGTCTGGCTCAGCATGGTGCCTCCACTTTCTTTGCATGGTGCTTTTTTACCTGGCTGAGGCCAGTGTCCTCCCTCTACCTGCGCCTCTCTAGTGTGTGCCTTCTGGAATCCTTGTAAACCCTTCCATGCAGAAAGGCAATGGCTTCTGCCAGCCTTCGGGGGCCTTGCTGGCTCCCAGGTGAGTGTTGGGAAGTGGCCATCAGGTGGTTTCTGGGTCAAGCTGCCAGCGCTGCCCAGACTGTCTGCAGGTGATCACCTGGAATCCTGGGTTCTGCCCAGACTGTCTGCAGGTGATCACCTGGAATCCTGGGTTCTCCCCAGACTGTCTGCAGGTGATCACCTGGAATCCTGGGTTCTGCCCAGACTGTCTGCAGGTGATCACCTGGAATCCTGGGTTCTCCCCAGACTGTCTGCAGGTGATCACCTGGAATCCTGGGTTCTGCCCAGACTGTCTGCAGGTGATCACCTGGAATCCTGGGTTCTGCCCTCTCACTGCCTGCCTTGTCCTCGTGTCCCTCTCTCCGTGACACGGGTGCCATCAGCAGGGAGGAGGGAGACCAATCAGGTGTAGCTCACCCCTACCTCCAGGAAGGGTGACATAAGCAGATCCAACTGAACGCCAAGTTCTTGGACAAAAATGGATTCCTGCCAGGCATGGTGGGTCAAGCCCATCACCCCAGCTGAGGCAGGAGGACTGTGAATTCAGGGCCAGCCTGAACAACCTGGTGAGACTGTCTCAAAATAAAAAGTGAAAAAAAAGGGGAGCGGGGCAGCTGTAGCTTAGTGATGAGTTCCTTGCCTTGTATGTGGAAAGCCCTGGGTTCAATCCCCAGTACCAGAAACACCCACTTCCTAAAGCAAGCCAGTATAACGCAAGTGTGAACTACCCGCGCTGCACACATGTACCCAGCTGTACACGACAGGAGCGTGGGCAAACCAGGCAAGGTCAGTCCTCAGGGCAGGTGTCTCTGCAGCCACTGAGGAGCTTCTGCTTGGCCCTGTCCCATCTCTGGGCAGTCGCATGGTTCCGGGCCCTTGCCAAGCAGCACCCACACTATCCTTCCCCATCCCTGCCTTGATCAGCCATCCCAGCAGGCACTGACACATGGAGCTAGAGCACGCTCGCTCTGCTTACCTGCAGCTCCTTGACCACTCGCTTTATGAGGAACGTTCCGAGCTCCACGCCTTGCAAGCCCTGCTGGGCCAGGCTGATGGAATAGAAGATGGCTGCCGCAATGCTGCTGCTCTCCTCTGTCTCGGAGGGAGGGCACTCCTTCACAATCCCCTGGAAAGGACAAGCACTGTGAGTCATGGCAGGGTCACCCTCTGACCCACCCTCCCACCACTGCCTGGACAACTCGCATGGCATTAAAAGCCCCATAACAGACTTTGCTTGCCCAGCTGCTCAGGCGGACCGTTTTGTAAACTGGATCTCCCAGTGTCCTGTCATCACTCGGCAGTGTCGTGGGGACCCGTGGGGACCACTTGGAAGCCTCTGTGCACTGTGAACAGCAGCCCCCTTTGTCTTTCTCAGGCCCCTCTGCCATTTGAAGCTGCCATACACCAGCCTCACCACACGCCTTTGTCAAGGCCAACTGGCACACACTGGGGACCCGCCTCTACCTACTAGTCATAGTTGCTCCTTTCCCAGGAGGTACAGGCCAATAGAAGTTTTATTTTTCAAAATTTACCTTTGAAAGTCTTTTCTATGTACCTTTTTGGTTCCGTGAAAACATCCTTAATCTGAACCCAGATGCTGAAGGTCACGGCATCACATCATGGCACTGGAGCAGCAGGTGTCGCTCTCAGTGCATGCTAAGTGAGGCAGGCACATCAGCTTGCCTTGAAAGAAGAGGTTTATACCTCTCCAGCACCCACCAACATGCGATCCTGGGCAGGGTTCTCAGTGCAGAGCCCCTGGAGGCCCCTTCTCTGGGGGGTCAGGACGTGGGCTGGGTTTCCTTGTTGAACAATTATGGGCCAGTGACCGTGGGTCCCTCACTTCAGCTCTGTCTGAGGCCTGTGGTAAGGCCATGCTCACTCACTCAGTGTGGAAGGTGTTTGCTGTGCACTGCCAGGTGTGATGAACATTATAAACGAGACCACACCACTGCAATCTGCAGACCAGACCATACCAACAGTGCTTTTCTCTAGCCTGGAGTCTTACATGCCAAATTGTCCTCACAAGTCCCAGCAACTTCCTCTCAGCACCAGCACCTGGGCCCACTGCCACCTTCGTCCTTGGACACTGGGAGACCTTCTCCCTACTGCTGAGTCACAACGTCCTCTACCTCGGCTGGGAAACCCTGGGCAGAGAGCCTATTCCCTGGTGCCTCATCATCCAGTCCTCTCTCTAACACTTATTCCAACATCAGAATCCTCCCTGTCTTCTTAGCAAACCCCTCATCTGCCTGTACCTCCACTGGGTCCCGCACTCCTGCCTGCAGACCCTACAGTGTGGCCACTGGCCTGCTGTCCCAAGTGTCCTGGGTTTGTCTTAGACCTTCCTGCTGGGTGCCTCCAGAAGACCAGCTCCCACAGGATGGGGCGGGCCAATGCCATCCTCACCACCTCTGTCCCAGCTTTCAGCTCAGGGCCAGGCACACAACCCTGTCTCTCTTTTCAGTCTGTCAAGCTCCTCTCACCCCACATCACGTGATGACTGCTGGAACCATGCAGCCGCCCTGGGTTCCTTTTCTGTCACTGCCACTGTCTGCCTCACAGAAATGTCCTGTGAGCACAACTCGGCCAGGTGAGTGCCCAGCCCGTGCCTGGCCAATCACAACGTCCCTCAAAGTTCAGAGGAGTTTCTTTTAAAAAGGAGATAAAACCATGCTAAAAAACACCATTTAAAAGACACAGTGGTCTAACGAGACAGCTAGTGGGTAAAGGAGTTTGCTGCCAAGCCTGATAACCTGAGTGCAATCCTTGGGACTCATGTGATGGAAGAAGAGGATTAATGCCCGCAAACTGTCCTCTGATCTCCATACATGCACCATGCACATAAATGATCACACCCATGTTCATATACACATACAGAAAATAAATGTTACAAAGACAGCGTGATAAGTCCGTCTTGTCCTGAAGGGATCACCCACAGGTACCTGGATGTTGCTGGAGATGTCACTGGTGAGCGCCACGTGCAGAACGACCAGGGGCTCTGCAGGGGTCGAGCAGTGGGAGAAGAAGTAGCACCGCCGGTAGGGCCCCACACGCCGCTTCATGTCCATCCAGTTTTTCACTGGGTGCACGGCCTCACACCTGACCGAGGAAAGAAGACAGCAGGCGAGGCGTGACTCACAGCCAGGGCAGCCGCCAATCCTATTTGTGCTAGCCAGTGAAGTCCAGGAAACTTTCCAGTGCCCCCAACGGACTTGTGGAGATTACAAGAACATCACTGAGTGAGCCGGCGTCGACGGACAGACACTACAGTTAAGGACCGTCTACACACTGCTCTGCTTCGGAACACCAACTTCTCCATCCGAGCCAGGTCTCACCCTGCAGCCCTGACGCTACACAGCCCAGGCTGACTGAGAACTTTCTATGATCCTTTGGCCTCAGCCTTCCAAGTGCTGGGATGACAGACATGCACTGCCAAGTGTAACAGTTGTTTTTAGAGCAATTTGTGGGGCTCTGGGGGAGCACTTACACAGTGGTGTCAATGCAGACTGACTGGAACATCTCTGCTCCAGGTTGCTGCAGTCTGGAAGGAGCTGGCCACATCGGTCCCCACTGCACAGGGGAGAGCAGCAGGCACTACCTCAGCTCACACTCCAGGCTTCTCGAGCCTCCAACTGCGTGGAGCGCGGGGCAAGACAGAACACTAGGTGTGTGCGACTCTGTGTCCCAGTCACACTACTGCACGGTGCAGCTAGCTGGTCTATCCTGGGAGATTTTAACAACTACATGACAGCACTTTTCTGACCACTCATGCCACTGCCAGCTCCAGCCAGTTCACATAACTGTGGCAACAGGGCCTTGGGAGCCAACAGTGGGCCCGTCTGCTTTAAATACAAGGGTGTGAGACCCTGGTCGTTCTGGGCCCATGCCCATCTCAACACTCCCTGTGATGGCAGTCACAGGATCTGCACATGCTGTGTGCATGTCAGGGCGGAATAAACATGTACAGGTACACACAAGCCTGCAGCCTCAACACAGCAGGCGGACGCCCATACTCACTCACTGATCTTCTGAAGCACCTCACAGGGCGAGTGCCAGGTGACCCGCTCCAGGTTCAGGAAGCCAGAAGAGAACCACTCAGACAGCATGCTTTTTAGCACTCCATTCATTTCCTGGGCAGGAGAGAGGAAGAGGGATCCTCATTGGTCCAGGAGTCTATGACCCACTCAAAGACATGTAGCTTCAGATCCTGACACCTCCAGCCAGGTGCATGGCTGTCTAGAATCAAGTTCGTACTGCACCTAGCAGTGACCTTATGTTTGGCCAATGAGGAGGCTGCAATGGCTTCGGGACGCCTTAAATGACAGCAGGGACTTGGCTCCCCCTGACTTTTCCCTTTCTGCCGTAGGCTGGAGGTGACTGTGACAGAGGCTTCTCAGAGCAAACAGCTCCAAATGCAGGAAGCCACCCAGCAGTCAGTCCTGGACCACCTCTCCCCAGACCCTGACCTGACTTCTCTGCTAATAGCCTACGGTGGCTTCAGGTCTGTTCCACACTGACAGAGATGAGGGCTCTCATGAAGAATGGTAAACATCCCACTGCAGCCCTCACCGAAGTGACCTTCCACATCTTCAAGGATGGTTCACTCAGAGCATGATTTGTATCTATGCAGACTAGCTTTACCACAGCTGTAAAAGTTTTACAGCGAATCGTAGTTCCCGATAAAAGATGAAAGCCTTCAAACTTGACCTGAGCAGAACCTGCAGGCAAGGGCTGGGGTCCAGAAGCTTTATAAGGATGTGACATCTCCCTTCACATACCTGAGAACTAGGACGGAGAGGCCACAAATTTGTTCTGTGTAGCTTCAGAGTGGGGAGTAGAAAAGGAGCTGGGGGCCTTGTTTACTGTGAGGAGAGTTCTGAGGGGCTGGGCTGCCCACAGCCATCATGTTGGGAGGGTGGGACTCATCACCGGAAGGGACTACATGCAGGGGAGTTGTTCTGGGAAGGTGCGAAGACTAGAGGCGGCTGGGCAGAGAAGCTGTGCAGGCCCTTTAACTCTAGACTAACTTCTACTCCTGGGCTGTAAGCTCTGCAGGGCAAAGTTCCCGTTAAAAAGGCAAAGGGAGTCTGGGTGTGGTGGCGCACGCCTATAGTCCCAGCACTTGGGAGGCAGAGGCAGGCAGATCTCTGTGAGTTCCAGGCCAGCCTGGTCTACAAAGTGAGCTCCAGGCGATCTGGGGCTGCAGGGAGACCGTATCAAAAACAGCAAAAAAAAAAAAAAAAGGCAACAGGAGCAACAGACTCTGGTCCAGACGCTGTGGGCGGAAGACAGCTCAGCGGGTAAACGGCCTACCACATGTAAGACTGAAGATCTGAGCCCGGATTTCCAGAATCCAAGTGAAAGCAAGACATGGTAGTGAGCAGGCTGTGATCCTGGTGCTTCTATGCTGAGATGGGAGGGAGGCAGGGGCAGGAGATCCTTGAAACTCACCAGCTTGCTAACATTCTCAGCTGTCAACAGACCCCTCTCACACAAGGCTAGGGAAGGTTGGGCTCACACCCAAGGCTGTCCTCTGACGGTGTATGCACCTGACTCACAACATATGCACACGCACACATAATAAAAAACAACCTGCATGCTCTATGATGGTTCTTTATGTTCCTGGGACCCTCAAGCTTTAAGTATGGGCTAAGAATACCTGCCCTACCCAACACATTTTGCGCCAATGTCTGAGGCTCGTGGGTTGGCTAGACCCTCCGTGGAGGGCCAGAACAGGCTGGCTGGTGCAGGGTGCAATGGTTACTGTCCTGTGACACTCAGGGCAGGAAAAGGCCAGAAGCCCCTGGCTCCAACTGACTGGACTTCTCTCAGTCTCCTCTTTCTATTCTGGGCTGCTGACGGCTGTGACATGTGATGCTGGAAAGGAGAGCTGGGAACATAGGCTAAAGGTGAGAAGCCTCACTGTCTAATCACTCACAATAGCTGTTCTGGTGGACACTGACCACAGGATGTGGCGAGGTCACCAGATCACAAACAACAAAAAAGCCCCCCCCCCTGCTTTCTGAGCATTAACGCAGCAGCTGCCAGAGCTCAGGAGCGAGCCTTCCTCCTCATCCTGCTCTGCTCTGTCTTCAAGGGGACGCTGTTTAGACCAGCCACCCTTTCCTTTAAGCAGCGGGAAGCCCTCCCCAGCCTCTCTCCCGAAGTCCCTGGCTCCCTACATCTACTTATTTTGGGTGTGAAGAAAAGCTGCTCTGCTCAAGCCCAGTGCTGGGGCGATGGAGCTGCTGTTCAGGGAAGTAACACAGGGCCAGAGAGGGCGCGGCTTCTGCTGTCTGCGTACACGTCACACACTAGAGACTAAGTTCCTATGGAAAAATAGACTCTGGCTTAGCATAGCAAAGTGCAGAGTTGACACTGAGAACTTACTAGAACGCAGAATTTGCTAGAGGGATCTGGGAGCACTCCATCACCTTACAGGTAGAACAGCTTTCCAACAGTGCCAAGCGTGGTACTGTGGTGAGTGAAGGTGGCAACACTGCGTGGCCGACAGGACAGGTGCCCAGGCTGGCCGAACCGTTACCCAATCTTGCCACGAGTGCTACACCCAACCCGCCCTTCCAAAATCCTTGTGGGCTAAGTGCCACCTTTGGTCAGGTGCCCACCAACTGAACAGCGCTCTATCTTCCCTCCCCTACCTGGGGACAGTTTATTTTCATTGAGTTTTTAACTCTAGGAATGCTGACTCATAACCACAGGAGCTGCAGAAAGTCTCTATGGAGAAATCCACAAGTCTACAAGCCCCGCCTGAGCAGCCATCCCCTGGCACTTCCCATGTGTTCAGACACAGCCCTGAGGCAGGGGCCATCAAGCAGGGCTGGACACACACCTGTACCCTTGGGCTCTGTCAGGCTAGGCCAGCACCTGGCACTCAGTCTCTGACTGAGGACTCGGCTCCTGTCATGAAGCCCTGTCAGGCTGCAGGAGCTGTCAACTTACACTGCCCCTCAGTCACCTGAGGGCACACATCTGAACTTGTGCCCCTTTGAATCACACCACCTCAGTGGTGGACATGGTATGAGAGAAGGGGGTCCGCACTGGCCCTGCAATCGCTCTTTGGATTAGCGTCAGGGTGACCTGTGTACAGGGCTTGTTATCTCAAAAAGCACAACATATTTGAGCTTTGCCAGAAATCCCAAGGCTCTTCCAGTAAGGAGACTTGATACTCTGAACTTCCCATCAGAAGGCTGAGCCTCCAAGGGCAAGAACCTTAATCTGATTTCAAGTCCCTGGGAAAGCCAGCCTGGCCAGCTGCCCTTGGTGCGCAGGCCTTGGTCCCCGTGCTGGCCGCACCTGCAATGGCAATGCCAGGCCTCTGGACTCTCAGCTTTCCAATACACAGCCCTTGGTCTAAAGACAAGAGCTCTGTTATAGTCCCAGCAAGGCTCCAACAGGGTGTTCCCCTGGGAGAGAAGCAAATTGGCCTCCCCCCACCCCAACTCACCATCAACTCAACAGCTCACCTCAGTGGCAGAGCCCGAGTCTCAGGAAGTCAAGTGGATTAGCTAAAGTGACCTGAAATCATGCCACAAAGATGGGACAACAGGACTGGAAAGTGGCTCACTCCTCGCTTGGTGGTGCTTCTCTGTGCCCTCTGCCCTGTACAATATAGGGAACCAGCATTTGGGGCTGCCATTCGCCATTCACTCTAAAGTGACTGCATGATGCAGGGTTCCACGAAGACCTGACTCTGCTTCAGGGGAAGGGCTCAGAGTAGCTCTCCCTTCCCGAACCACTGCCTAGCAAAGGTCACATAGGGCCAGGCAGGTAGAGCGCCCAACACAAGACAGGCAACAGGAGCTCTGAGACCCAGTGAGACTCAGTAGCAAGCACTGCACTTCCTAAGAGCAACCAGCACTGGTCCCTGGGGGTCTGCGCATCCTGCTCTGAAGCCTGTGTGCGCACCAGGGTTTGCTGGTTTTGGATGTCAAATTCCTAAATGTAAAATCTTCCAGCGGAGTGGCCTCTTGGGACCTGGGTGCAAATTCCATATGAAGTCAAAGAAAGAAATGTGGATTGCACACCCAGTAACAGCAGCACGGACTCTAATATGCCAGGGACCAGGAGCCAATGTGGCCCTCAGGGGGTAGTAAAATGTGTGTGGTCTGCACAAGTGCAGGGGAGATTTCGCGGAGTCTGTGCCTTATACTCTGGTTTGCTGTGATCCTGAAACTGCTCTAAGAAATAGTCTGCTAAGAAAGGGGCTGTGTAAAGACGGTGCAGGCTGAGGAAAAGCAAAAAAAAGTGCGTGCCTGAGTTTAGTCTCCAGGATTTATGTTTAAAAACAACAAAACAACATACCAGCATGGTGGCACACTGTAATCTCAGCGCTGGGGAGGCAGGATCAGGAGGGTCCCTGGGGCTCAGTGGTCACCCAGCCAGGCCTAAGTAGTGAATTCCAGAGGATGGCTCCTGAGGATGACACTCCTGAGCGCACACATGTGTTCACATTAAGTTCTTCTGGTTATAGGTTATAATATCAAATCCCAACTGACAATTTCTAGGGAGAGGGGGAAGAAAGCCTCTAAGAACGATTTAAATGATAAAGATTTAAAAATGCTACCAAACTACATAAGGATGAGGCAATGAGCTGACTTAAGGGTGTAGTTAAATGCACTGGCTGTCAGACCAGATCAGGGTTGAAAGCGACAGAACAGCCAATGTGTCCACACCTTGTGGAAGGGCAAAGGTCAGGCTGAAGCACCTCATTCTCTGCTGACAAATGCCTGGTTCATGATGTCGGGCTTGCAGCACGCAGGGTCCGCCTCCCTTACAGAGAGCAGCCTGGTTAAAAGAGCAGGAAGACCTGTGAAGGTCTAGGGGTAGCATGCTTCCCCCAAAAGTCAGTGTCGGTGGCCAAGGGTGGGCCTGGCACACTCTGCCCCCAAGAGCTCTCACTAATAGAAAAAGCACTCACAGAATCAGAGAATTTAGAACTGGGTGGGCACTAGACGTCATGGAGGGTCAAAGCTATCCAAGAACTGCTAGGCCCTCATGGATGGGTGGGTCCTTCAGGCCCTTGGCCTTGTTTCTAGTTCTGATCCCTGCGCTCCAGCACGGAGCAGTCTGACCTCAAAACAAACGCTGCATCAACGTCTGAGTGTCTCCCTGGGCCACGCTGGAGCCCTCCATGACACAAGCCATTTCACCATAGGAAATTTAAGTCAAGGTTCCAGTTTTGAAGACCTGGTCATATCGTTGTAGAGACCAAACACCTCATTCAGAGCGTGGAGCATGAAAACTCAGCCACTCAAGATGGTGATGGCCTGGAACGAGGTCAACTCAGCACACAGGAACAATCTGCGAAGCACAGTAAACATCTGTGGTCTCTGTCTGGGCTGAAGGCTCATAACCCTGGGTAACCCACAGCCTTGTACATGAACCAACTATCCTGAAAAAAATCTGGTCATACACACACTGTTATCACTGAGTAATCCTTTTCACATCTACACCCAAGGCTGAGGCGAAGTGATAAAGTTCTAAGGGAAGCCTACTCCCTCACATGGCAAGGCAGTGACTTGCAGACCCTTATCAGAGGCAAGGAAGTCTGGCTGGGGGTCACTTATCAGTGACATCTGCTTTTGCTGAGGTCACAGACAGCCCACACCCTTCAGTATTATCTCCTTCAGGGTGAAAGGAAATGTGTCACCCCAAACTGAGGCATGAAAGCTGTTATGCCAGTTCTGGAGTTCTCAAGTGAGTCAGGACTCCCCTCAGTTTTTAAAAACACACAAGGGCTGGAGGAGCTCAGAAACCTCTGGCGTCATTCTGCATTCGCTTAGGGTCAGGCGCATGTTCCTCTGCGTGGAATAGTAACTAACTGTATAAAAGGGCTGCATTCAATCCTATGTGATCTCTCAGGTGATAGCTCTGTAAAATGTAAACCAAAACCAAACCATACACATAGCTCTGTGTAAAATGTAAACCCAAACCATCATTGTGCATTCACTGATGGTCAGGCGCACTCTGTGTGGAACAGTAACGGTATAAAAGGGCTGCATAGAACCCTACTGCAATCTTTCAGGTCACAGTTCTGTAAATCTGTTATCTGCATGAAACCTAAACGCCACAGGCTAAGCGCTGACAACCTCAAGTTCTCCAGAAGTCAACTTAGCATCATCAATTGCTTCTAGGGTTGCGCTCAGGGAGTTAAATCTCTGGTCTATAGACCCGGGGCAGAAATCAGGCTGGAGGGCCCTGGGACTCTGACAGGGTGACCTTGACGTCTAGCCATCTTTGTCCATTTCAATTTAACTCACTAGGACAACGTCTCGCACCCAGCGCGAGCTCAGTGAACTTCCCCAAAGTTTGCCTGATGCTCTGTTCCAACCTTGTTCAGGCAGAACTCAAATCTGGAACATTTTAGAGCACCCTCAGGAGATACCACACGTGACAGTCACCTTAACGGCAGCGGCACACCTTGCACGGCGAGCCCTGCACACCCGGGGCTTGCAAGCTGCACTGGAGGGCAGCCGGGGCGGGACCTGGGAGCTGTGGTTGCGGGCGACGTGCACGCACCCGAGGGATCCCGGGGTCGGGCCGGCCCGGGTGGGGCCTTACCCGGACGTGCGGCCCCTCCACCAGCTTGAGGGCCTGGGCCTCCAGCAGGTCGGCCCGCAGCTGCACCAGGAAACGCACGCCGCCGTCCAGCTTGCTGATGTGGTGGAACAGGCCGCGGTAGCGCGGCACGAGCGCGTAGCGCAGCCGGTCCTCCGCCTGCAGCAGGACGGCCACCTCACGCGGCTGCTGGTGCAGCTGGAGCACGCCAGCGCTCTGCTCGGCCACCTGGCCGTGGTCCACGCCGAAGCCCTGCGCCAGGCGTCCGAGCAGCTCGGCGCGCTGGGCCGGCCCGGCCAGGCCGCCGTAGAAGCTCACGAAGTCGGTGCACTGCGCCTCGGCGGGCGCGGGCGTCTTCTCGCGCAGCTCGTAGGCCGGCGTGGGCGGCACCGCGCGCCGCAGCAGCTCGTCCATGGTGCCCGGCGGCCCGAGGCACAACCGACGCCCGGGCGGCCGCGGCGGCTGAGGGGGGAACGATAGCCGCAGCAGACGCGGCGCCCGCAGGCCTGGCCTGAGGCCTCGCATGGCAGCTGCGGAGGGGAAGACGCCGGCCGCGCAGAGGGCCAAGCCCCACTTCCGCTTCCGGCTTCCGGCGGCTCGCACGTCCCATTGGCCGGGGCCGGAAAACAGACGGGGATGGCAGCCAATCGAAAGACGGAGCGCCGGGGGCGGGGCGGGGCGGCCTCCCGCAGGCCCGAGGCCAAGTGCAGCCAAAGGTCCCGGGCGCTGTGGCCTCAAGGCGCCTGACTCGGCCCTGCCGCCCCTGGCCTCCTTCCTGACATCTGTCCAGACCACACCAGTCACCTGCTCAGCCTCTCGCCTCTTTCTCCACTGCGCACGCGCGTGTCCAGTGCTGAGCGCTTTCAACCTCGCTGTGTTTCCAGCTCCGCGTGTGCTCCTGCATACGCAGGTTCCTGGGCTCTGGTTCCGATAGGGGTCGGTGAGAACCGGAGCTTGCTGCTTTAAAAGGGCTGGTGGAGGCTGGAGAGATGCTCAGCGGTTAAGACCATTGGCTACTGTTGCAGAGGACCTGGGTTCGAATCCCAGAACCCACATGGCGGCTAACAACCATCGGTAACTCCAGTTCCAGGAGCTCCGACGCCACCTTCTGACCTCAGCGGGCATTGCACGACACGGGTGCACTTGCATGCGTGCAGCACTGCACTGGTACACATAGAACTTGGAAATAATAAAAATATTTTAAAAACCTAAATTTACGAGTTAGTCTTTTATGCAGGTAATTATAATGTTGGTGTAATGCCATAGGTGGTTTTGTGGTCTGACACAAACACACTCATGAAAATGCGGCCACACGCTCACACAAAGGGCTCAAATTCCCTGGCAAGATAGCTTTGTTTGACCGTGCCTGGATTCTTTCCAGCCCTACTCAGGATGCCAGAGACCCAGCCCTGGCCTCCTGCTGCACCTTGGAGAGTGTCTTGGGAAGCTGCAAACTGGTGGCCTCCTAAGTGTGTTCTCTGCCCACTTTGCTGGGTCCTCGTTCATTCATTCGTTCAACAAAATGATTATTATCTGCCTGGTGTGTGCCAGGCTCTGCACTAGGCTTACATTTAAAAAGGACCTGACTCTGTCCTCAAGCAGTTTGCACTCCGAGGAAGACAGACATTAAAACAACTGCAAAAAAGGAAGTAGATCCAGGAGGTATGAAATGGCAGGGCTGCTGTAGACTCAGTGGATACGGCCTGCCCGAGTCATGATGGCCTGTTTTGGGTACATGATTTTCCAGCAAACTGTAGATAGCCCAAGAGTGCTATGTGACTTGGCAGCAAAGTCCTGGCTCCAGGTGTATGCCTGACTCTTTGAAAAAGATTCAGTTTTATGTGTAGGGATGTTTTCTCCATGCGTATGTAAGTGTGTCATGTAGTGGCCATGGAGGCCAGAAGAGGGTGATGGATCCCCTGGAACTGGAGTTACCGCCGGTTGTTAGCCACCATGTGGGTGCTGGGAACCGAACCCAGATCCTCTGCAAAAGCAGCCAGTGCCCTTAACTGCTAAGTCATCTCTCCAGCCCTGTGCCTGGCTCTTTGCTACAAGCTTAAGATGAACCAGGTAAGGTTTGTCCAGGGTACGGTCACTTTTGTCCTAATCCATTTTTGTGACCCCCTTTCTGACCAAAATTGTGGGATCCAGCTGGTCTAGTTTCCTCTCAGGACCAATTCACCTGTCAGTAAGTTGACCAGTGAACTGCTCTGCAATCCGTCTGCCTCTTGCTTCAGTCTCCTAAGGGCTCACCTGTATACACCGGAACCATGCTGTTCCAGAACAAATTCCCATCATGCATAGGAGAGTCAGGAAAAGCCTGTTGGAGGAGGTCATGTGTAAGTTGAGAGCAAAGGCTAGCTATGGAACGAGAAGCAGAAAGTGGCCCAGCACCTCTTTCCTTGACTGAACTTTGTGCTTGTAGAACCTCTGCCCTGCCCCCCACTGCAGTACCCACATTTCAGTGATTTCTACTTTCTGGCCCACTGCCCCTGTGGCCCCAGTCACTTCTCACCAGGACACTGCAGGAACTCCTTTGCATCCAGACTTGTGACCTCCAGCCTGCCCTGTGTACCTGCTGAGATCTCTCTCTCTCTCTCTCTCTCCCTCCCTCCCTCTCTCTCTCTCTCTCTCTCTCTCTCTCTCTCTCTCTCTCTCTCTTCTCTCATGCATCTATCCATGGTGTTCACTCACCCAACAACCAAGCACTTCAGGATAGCATGCTATGATGGTTTCAATGGACATGTCCCCATAGGCTCTAAGTATTTGAATACTTGGTCCCCAGTTCATGGCACTGTTTGGGGCAATCTGGAACCTGTAGGAGGTGTGGCCTACCTGGAAGGGCTCTGAGGGTTCCTAGCCTTGCCCCGCATCCAGATTGCCCTCTCTGCTTCCTGTGCCTGCTTGAAGATGTGAGCACTCAGCTTTCTGCTCTAGTCACCTTTTGTGGCATCCTTCCTGGCCATGATGAACTCTTATCCTTCTGAAACCACAAACCCAAATAAACTGTTCCTTCTACAAGGCCAGCCTGGTCTACATAGTGAGTTCCAGGATGGCTGGGGCTACAGGGAGACCCTGTCTCAAAAAGACCAAAAAAAAAAAGGAATGAAAACACAGGGAGATACATGGTCTTTCTTAAATGGCCCCTGTTGATAAATGGCTCTGAGTCTGGGGTGGATATGGTAGGACTTGAACCCAGGCCTGCCTCCCTCCAGTCAGTGCTCCTTCCACCCAGGATTGCCAAAAGGAGGGTTTTTGTATTGGGGGAGTTGAATTTGTTTTCTGTGCTGAAATGTTGAGGAAAAACAAGAGTTAGGAATGTACCGAACGCCATGTCCTGCCCGTGGGCAGTTTACTATTTAACCCTCAAATCAGCTCCATGAGCCCGGAATGATGTGGTCATTTCACATCAGACCCGATGTGGTCAGCTGGCATCCCAGGGCAGCCTTGTGAGCCTGAGGCAAGGGCTATGTTCGACTCTCATCTTATGACTCCAAAGTTTCTGCTTTAGCCTACGCTCTGAACTGAGGCTTCTAGAGTTTTCTTCTTTCTCGAGGCTGTAGGGGAAGTCTTTTTTCTACTCCTCAGCTTGGTCCCAGGGAGGACAGGGCCTAGAAGGAGCAGCTGGGATCTCACCATGTGGGGAGGATGCTGGACAGACCTTAGAACTGATGGGGCCAGTTGGGCCTGGTGGTGCAGACCTGTGATCCCAGCTACTCTAGAGGCTGAGGCAGGAAGATCACCAGTTCAAAGCTTGGTTGGGTCATAGAGTGAGTTCAAAGCATCAAAACCTGGGCAACTGAGAGGCTGTCTCCAAAAAAAAAAAAGTGCTGGGAGGCATTGCTCAGTGGCAGAGTGCTTGCCTTGCATGTGCGAGGTTCTGGGTTCAATCTCTAGTGATGAGAAAAAAGAAAAAACCCACCAATGAAGGCAGAGTAATTAAAACTGTGGTTGAGTAGACAAACAGCCGTGACAACGGAAAGCCAAGAGAGAGACCCAGCAATGTGGGGTAGTTAGTGTGTGAAAATGCAGATGTTACTTAGGAAAAGCCTAAATAAAATGTTGATTTGGCTGCATTGACCTCTCTGAAACTACCATGCATGTTAAAAGCTGCCCTTCCCCGGGGTTAGACAGTGAGAGAGATAAATAAGCCTAGCTAGTTAAAAAAACCAGAGGGAGGGGCTGGAGCAATTAAGGGAGGGGCTCAGCAATTAAGAACACTGACTGTTCTTGCAGAAGACCCGGGTTGGAATCCCAGCACCCACATGGCAGCTAACATAACACCCATACACATAAAACAAAATAAAAAATAAAAAATAAAAAAACAGAGGGAACCATATTAGTCCAAAAAGCTCCTGACAAATTATGCATACATTATCTCTACATGAGTCTATGTGTATAGCTAAAGGCTACATAACAAGAAACAGTGCCAGACAGGAGATACCTTCCTTTGAGTTGTTGGCCAGGGTGGTCCAAGAGACTCCCAAAATTACTCAGGCTATTGCCGCAGTCCTTGATGGTCCCCCAGAGCTTGAAGATAAGACCCCACTGCTGAAGAGAGAACATACATCAGACCTAGGATTTGGAGAAATAGAGCTCATAGCTTTGGAGACTGCTATGGAAGTGTCAAGAGATGAACCAGCACCAGCTGCAAGACCAAATCACCACATCAGTGGCCAGCACAGCATACGTCATTGGTGCAGTAGTGGCACTTTTATCTTGGAGGCAATCAGCACCTACCCAATTTGACTAAAAGCCCACTCAAAGGGAGGAAGCTCAAGTGTAGTACTGTAACATGACCTAATATACATGGCCGGAGTGGTCATAGATCTTAAAGAAAACCCCAAAACTCTTACATCGCTAGACTAATGTAATTTCTTACTATGTGCAAAATGTGTATTCTCATATTTACAGACAAATATCCCAGTCATCACTCATCAAATAAACTCATTTTGCAGCAGTCAGAGACTATTACCAAGTACCACAACTAGTCGCACACGGACATTGTCTATGAATTGCCCAGGCCTAAGGGACACATCTGCAATGCGACCTCTACACCTAAGGCTCATGGAACACAGAACAGGGATAAAGAGGAGGACACTAAGGATTAGTTCTCAATAATGAATCTCCCCATGCAGCGGAGGGCCAGGGACACAAAACGTCACAAATGGCCAAAGTGTAGCGATCAAGATTCTGCTAAATAATGGTCCTTGGGCAGGACCTCTATTAAACTTCATCTGCCCAAGGCTCAGGGACCACTGAGGAAGAGGGGGTGCTTCTCATATTTACAGACAAATATCCCAGTCATCACTCATCAAATAAGCTCATTTTGCAGCAGTCAGAGACTATTACCAAGTACCACAACTGGTCGCACACGGACATTGTCTATGAATTGCCCAGGCCTAAGGGACACATCTGCAATGCGACCTCTACACCTAAGGCTCATGGGACATAGAACAGGGATAAAGAGGAGGACACTAAGGATCAGTTCTCAGTAATGAAGATCCTCGTGCAGCGGAGGGCCAGGGACACAAAACGTCACAAATGGCCAAAGTGTAGAGATCAAGAGTCTGCTA